GCGATGGCCGCCACCCTACTAGCGATGGCCTCCAACAAAATAGCAATGGCCTTAGTAGCGATGGCCTCCACCCTAGTAGCGACTCCACCCTAGTAGCGATGGCCTGCAACCTAATAGCAATGGCCTCCACCCTAGTAGCGATGGCCTCCAACCTAGAAGCAATGGCCTCCACCCTAGTAGCGACTCCACCCTAGTAGCGATGGCCTGCAACCTAGAAGCTTCCTTTGTTGACGCAAGCGGCAGGCCTTTGAAGTGAATTGTGCGCCTGAGACCTTGCGCCGAACAGATCTGGGAGATTTGAAACCAGGTGACCCGGCGACCACGACGCATCACGGGTCACGCCTTCGTTGGGAACATGCAAGGTAACCAGAAGTCGTCCGTGGTCAGTGGAACCAGCAAGTCAATTGCTATTAGGTTGGAGGCCATCGCTATTAGGGAACAGGTCTTGACCAATGTGACTTGTGACTTCCTCTGACAGCTTGGAACTTGGAACTTGTGACTTGGGTGCCTAGGCGATTTGGTGAACTTGGAAAGGCTCGAGGGCAGTCGGAGGGAAAAAGAACACAGAAGACTTAGACGACAGAGAGGTTTTTTGCCATTGCTATTAAGTTGGAGGCCATCGCTAGTATCGCTAGTAGGTTGGAGGCCATCGCTTCTAGGTTGGAGGTCGGACACTTGGGTTTCTGGTCTGTTTTCCAGGTCCATGGCAGCCACAGACCGAAACTCAGGACACTTTGTGCAGGCAGGCTCTAAGACGTTCTTCATATTCTTCTCAGAGTCTACTTGTTCATTTGTTTGAGCAAAGAAGTAATTACACAGAATGGAACCGCCATCGACAGGGTCATGTGGACGAAGCGGGAGAGATCTTAAAGTTTACACCTGAAGGTGACTCCTTATGGCATCTTGGAGAAAGCAGCACATAGCGAGCGCGAGCAGAAGCAGCGGACTATTTTTTAAATCAGATGAATCACTCTCTTAACTTTCAATACATATCAGCTCTCAACGGTTGTGGAATTTGCCAAAGACCAAGGGTCCGGATCTCGCTCAGCGACGACATCCTGCCGTACGTTATCCCCAAAGGCTACCGGGGGTCAGAGTCATGGCAGAGTCATGGAATCCGGTTTCGGACAAGAGGATGGACTTTTTGACCACAGACAAACAATGAAAGGGCATACCAGCAGAATTTGGAACAACAATAATTCCTTTTACTGTCCTCCTGTCTTCCCTTCGTAAGGTGCGGGATCTTGAAAATGACTACCTGGCAGGTTACATTGCTGTGGACGGAACCAGCCTGACGGTGTGTGAGGTGAATCGTTCCAGCCTGCAAAGCATTCCAGCCACATCCCTTATAGCTACTAGTAGCTTCTTGTTACTAATTAGCAGTAATGGCCTCCAACCTAGCGATGGCCTCCAACCTAGTAGCTTATGCCAACATTGCAGTGTTTCCACGTGCTTCCTGTGAGGTAAACCGAAAGGAGAAGTGGTTCAACCTCATGCTGATTGCACACACCCAGAAGTGCATCGTTATCCCAAAGAAGAAGGCCCTGACTTGGACCGCTCTGCTTACCCTTCGTGATGGCTCAACTTTGAAAGGTGGGTGAGCGAGTGAACCTTGAAGCAGATTGCATGGGCAAGGCCAGCAGTTCTGGTGTTTTGAAAGAAGCTGCGGAGTTTGCTTTGCAGACTGCAGACCTATTCGAACATCTAAAGATCTTTGGAGCTTTTTGTGTTGGGAAGGGGTCGGGTCTAGCCAACAAATCTTTCAATCACAACTAACAAACCAAATTCATCGTGCTTAAGCAATGTCATTGAAGTATGGTAGAATGTATCGTATGCAGAAGTGGGGGACACATGGGCATCCTGAGCGCCATTACACAAAGTCAAGAATGCAATTGTATCTGTTGAAAGTGTTTCCGTTGCCTAAAGGGTAGCGGTAGCCTTTTTCAAACCTCAGGGTCCCTAAGGCCAACTATAGACTGATGGCCTCCAACCTACAGCAATGGCCTCCAACCCAAAAACGATGGCCTCCAACTTACTACCGATGGCCTCCAACCTACTAGCGATGGCCTCCAACCCCAGGCCAACTAGACTTTATTTTTTGACTCCAACTCGACGCCAAGTGCTGCACCTGCGCGCACGGCGTCCTGTCGCGGTACATCCTGTCAGTACGCTGCGACAGCAGTGGGCAACGTGCGACACGAGCTGAAGGAGCTCCAGCAGCAACTGCGGGTCACTCAGGCCACGCTCAGCGGTCTTTGGGGGTGACCTTTTGCGCACACTATCAAATTATATCAAATTACTGTGAGACTTGACAACTGGCTTCTCCAAACGGATGCCAACATGTTCTCCAAAAAGATGCCTCAACTGCCGAACTGCTGTTGCTGGAGCTGTGCTGTGGCAGGTGATTTCTTTTGTAGCTCTTTGCACTGCGGCAGCCCTGATGCTGCCGTTCGGACAGCAGTATTCGATGAGGGTCGTTTTGGTCAGACGGTGTGAGTGACGGTGTGTCGAAGCGTGTCACAACAAGCTGTCCGTGTCAGGAACGCTGTCCGGGCACGATAGCCAAGAGTGAAGGAGTTGGAACTCAGCTTGATATTTTGGCCTTTTGAATGGAGGAACGCTGCAATCAAGGCTCTCGCATATCATGCAATCTTCTTTTTTTCACCAAGCTTCTTTTTGAGGAGTTTGGTGCATTTTCAGCTGACTCAGTCAGCTCCTGTTCGGAGCTTTGGTGCTCGAAAAGTCGATTCCGAGCAGGACCCGACTTTTTGGGTTCGGTTGGAGGGTGGAAAGGTACGTAAGATTAGCAAGGACTAGTAGCTAGTAGATGCTAGTAGCTAGGATTGATGCCATTGCTCTTAGGTTGGAGGGTATTGCTATTAGGTTAGATGCTAGTAATTAGCTAGGATGCAAAAGAAGACTCTCTGTAAGAATCTGTTCGTAGACTTGAGGGAACTAGCTGGGCCCTGCCCACAGATGGCGTCAAAGTCAACATCACAAAACGAACATATTTCCTATAGATGATCCCAGTTACATAGTTAAATTTTGTTCGGACACACCCTATTTTCTTGAAATTGAATCTTCGAGAACTATGCTGCAAGTACATGACTCAAAAGCCTTGGGCCCGCAAAAAAGAATGCTCCTTTTTGGGGGCAACGGAATGAATAGAAAAGGACCGGACAAAGACAGGTCAAAAACATGGTCTAAGTGTCTAAAGAACAACATCTCGGGAAAACGATGTCCTTATCGATCCCGTCTCAGCTGGCTCGACCGTCTTCCGGGCACGACGGGCGACCGGGGCCGGGTTGAGGTGCCTGGCTTTGACCTTTCTTTTTTAAAAATACATTTAGACCTTTTGTCTTTCTTTAGTAACAAGAAGCTAGTAGTAACAAGTGCCACGCTAGTAGTAACAG